ATGTGTCATTCGTGGCACAATTCAAACGGGATCGAAAGATGACTTTTCTCTCTCCATTGACGTCAATGTATAATTTTCCGCTTCCGTGGTCCCATGGGTCGGAAGTAGATGGGCGGGACTTCGCCTCTCTATATCCTCTGCTGGCTCCTCCCCGCCAGCCGGCTCGCCTCGTCTCTAATGTCCGTTGTTGCATTTAAACAGAGGATTGGTACTTTTCACATTCAATATATGCTTAACCCGCCTTTTCTCCTCATATTCTCTTTCATCACTTTTCATGTAACACATTCTAAACGCTGTAACCAATACTCCAAAATATACAGAAAATACTTCACGGCTGGTTTGGTTTCCGGATGTTGTCACATGCTACTCTCGTCTGTAAACAATAATGTATTCAAATAAACTGTACTTTCATTTAATATTCAGCATAGTAGTATCTCGACATCTATAGTTGTAGTGTTAAATCAGTAGGTTTCGGTTTGCACCACTCCATGTCATTTCGCTACTCAATTCACCTCTTTAGGAAATCGTATATTAGCCACATGCTAAATGCTAACCGTAGATGAAGGATTTTCTGAATAAAAGCTTAACTGCTTGTGCACAAGAATTTCTGGTTTTTCAGTATAAAAGAGCGTTTAAACTGACGGTATGTTTAAGCTACATTATACCATCAAAACATTGATTTTAATTTCTAACATTACGTAGGATGACTTAAAGCCATGTTGTGTAGAAAATGAATCAGTGTTATTGTCTGAATGCAAAAAAAAAAAAAGTGGGTTGTTTCAAATATATGTATGTGTTTTTCTTCTAAGGTGTTTAGCAAGATGGGCATCCCTCAGATCAGGAATCCTGAACTGCCACCAGCCAATGAGATGCCAGAGATTTACCATGCCCCCATAGCTCTGATTGGTTGTGGCCCTGCGTCAATCAGCTGCGGCTCCTTCCTGGCCCGCCTTGGATATGATAATATTACCATATTTGAGAAACAGATGTGGATTGGAGGGCTGAGGTAACATTTAGTTATTTGATAAAAAAAGATTTTTTCAAAATTCATTCTAGGAACTTTAAAATAGAGTTACCAAACTACTTAGCACATACTGTATTATACAAAGCAAGGCCTAAGATGCAGCAGATGCTAGGAAACATTACAAAATAAAATACAAACAAACTAGTCGCATTCATTTAGCGAAATCTGATTATTTTGTCCCTCTATAATTTGGAAATTGATGGCCTTTATGAAGAAGGGTTGGATTAAAGTCTCTTTGGCAAAAACTGAATTCATACCTGTTTAAAATAAACCAAACCCAAATCAGAGAGGAAGAAAGATTCATGTTGTCCTTTAGAATGATTGAAAAACCTCTTAAACATACTTGTAGTGTTGAAAATGAAGAGAGATATGAAAAAGACAAAGTAAAGGGGAATAAAGGGATGTCACATTAAACACATATGTTTGATTCCCTGCAGCACAGCAGAGATCCCTCAGTTCCGGCTTCCCTATGAGGTTGTGAAGTTTGAAATAGACCTGATGAAGGATTTAGGAGTAAAGGTATGACTCACAGAAACTCCTTCCCTACTCACACATGTGTTTTAAATGCACCAATTGTCCTCACTATAATAATTGTTTAGCTATTAACTATTGTTTATTCTGTCATCTTTCTTTATTTGTTTATGATCATCTAAATGTGTACTGAAATATGAGGCCAAACAATTCAAATGTATGACGGAGAGCATTCCACATATTGGACAGAAAATGGACAGAGATCAAATAATGTCGTTAATTTAAATGATAAGACCTTTCTGATGATTTGAATCCTTACACAGTCTTAATAAATGTGTGTTTTTATCCAACAGGTGATTTGTGAGAAGGGTCTGGGTGTTGATGGAATGACTTTGACTTCCCTGAAAGAGGAAGGATTCAAGGCAGTCTTCATCGGGATTGGTGAGTGCCTCTTCAGAAAATACCTTTGGCCTGTGGTAGTGTATTATCATTTTGTATACTACAATCCTTCTGTAACAGTGGGATAAATACAGTATGTCTACAGGACTGTCTCAGAAAATTAGAATATTGTGATAAAGTTCTTTATTTTCTGTAATGCAATTAAAAAAACAAAAATGTCATACATTCTGGATTCATTACAAATCAACTGAAATATTGCAAGCCTTTTATTATTTTAATATTGCTGATTATGGCATACAGCTTAAGAAAACTCAAAAATCCTATCTCAAAAAATTAGAATAGTTCCTCAGACCAAGTAAAAAAAAAAGATTTATAACAGCAAAACACAATCAAACATTTGAAAATGTCCATTAATGCACTCAGTACTTGGTTGGGAATCCTTTTGCACGGATTACTGCATCAATGCGGCGTGGCATGGAGGCAATCAGCCTGTGGCATTGCTGAGGTGTTATGGATGCCCAGGATGCTTCAATAGCGGCCTTTAGCTCATTAGCATTGTTGGGTCTGGTGTCTTTCAGCTTCTTCTTCACAATACCCCACATATTCTCTATGGGGTTAAGGTCAGGGGAATTTGCAGGCCAATCGAGGACAGTAATGCCATGGTCAGTACACCAGTTACTGGTGGTTTTGGCACTGTGGGCAGGTGCCAGATCATGCTGGAAAATGAATTCCTCATCTCCATAGAGCTTTTCAGCAGACGGAAGCATGTAGTGCTCTAAAATCTCTTGGTACACAGCTGCATTTACTCTGGGCTTGATGAAACACAGTGGACCAACACCAGCAGCTGACATGGCTCCCCAAACCATCGCTGACTGTGGGAACTTCACACTGGATTTCAAGCAACTTGGATTTTGCTCCTCTCCAGCCTTTCTCCAGACTCTGGCGCCTTGACTTCCAAAT